CCTCAGCCAGCAAAGCTGGCTGAGGAATTCTGGGAGTTGAAGTCCACAAGTCTTAAAGTTGCCAAGGTTGGACACCCCTGATCTAGAGGCTGACTCTGTAAACTGCTTAGAGAGGGCTGTAAAGCACTATAAAGTGGTATATAAGTCTAAGTGCTGTTGCTATTATACTGGAAAAGCATGAAGTCTCTCACATGATCAACAATAGACGTTCCTAGAATCTTAAATTCAACCAGAACAAGTGACAAATTACAACATTTGCTTATTCTATATTCAAGTACTCATGGTTAAAGTCAATACAAAAAACCGTTACATTTATTCCTACTAAAAGTAAAAAAAAAAAAAAAAGTGAAAAGTAGATTTCCTGATTAGAATTATTTGGAATAATGGAAATAATATAGAGAAAGTTTGATGTATGTTTACTTCTATCTATAAACAATGGATGTTTGTTTTTATATTATTTTTTAATATCAATATATGAGCTTGTCTAGTGGTTTCATTTTAGATTAACTTACCTGTTGCCCAGCTGGTCCGATTGGACCCTGTTCTCCTGGAACACCTCGTTCTCCCTATAGATGAGGCAGAAAAACAAAACACACATGAATGATTTCAGTTTTATGTGATTTCTTTTTTCACTGTGGTGAATCTGAGCAGAGATGGGGCTGCTGGGGGTTCGCAGGGGTTCGGGAGAGCTAAGATTCTGTGCAATTCGGAGAACCCCCAAATCCCACTCCTGGCTGGTCCCACCCACCCCTCCCCTCCCAGGAATCCCAACGCGGCTCATTTTGGATGCAGGTAAGTGCAGGGCATGTGCAAAAGTTCGGGGAGGGCAAAAAATGGGCCTCCCGGAAGTTTGGGAGGGCCGGAAATGGTTTTTGCCCTCCCAGAAGCTCGACAAAAGCCTTCAGAGCCCGGGGAGGGCAAAAACACCCCCCCCCTCGCTGTGGTACAAGAGGCCGATTATGCCACGCCTACCATGGTCACGCCCACCCAGCAACCGGGCCGAGAACCCTTTGCTAAAATTTGTGAAGCCCACTCCTGAATCTGAGCATCTTGATCTAAGAAAGAGATGTTCTTTCAGCATCAGAAAAGGTTTATTATTAAGAGCCAAATAAGGGTATTTGTTCCTGGATAGACCAGATATAATGACTGAGGTGATATGTGGTAGATAAGAAACTGTAGTAGATTTTCTACAAGTAAATTGCAATAACAGATTGTTAACAGAGGGTCTTGAATTTTAGCTTTGCTGTTCTTTAACCTGTTAACATTTTTTTTTTCATATATTCAATGTATGCCAGGTCAATTGGGTTGCAAATAGAGGTGAAAGTTTATAAATTTTGGACCTGCTTTGCAAAAGGGGAAGCTATTATTGTTGCAATAGATTTGTCAATATTCAGTTAGGGAGACTAATATTTTTTTTATCCTTTTTAATTCACATTTTTAAATGTTATTGTCTAATTGTGTTTTGTTCTTTGCTAATTCTTTTTCTTTTGGATCTTGTATCTTAATATTTTGAATGAAATAAAAACGTATAAAAGCATTAGAATAGGTTTGTTTGTTTTTTACCTTCTCCTGCACATAACCATTTTGAAACCTAGACACGATGAATATCTGAGGGACTAGCCCCTTCCCAGTGATACCAGCTTGTCCCATTAGATCTGGCAGATCTATATTTAGTGACTCCAGGACTTTCTGTCATGGTGCATTCCTTAAGGAACATTTCCCCCCCCCCAAAAAAAAAAAAAAAATTAGATTGGTTCCATCCCTTCTGATATTTTGGAAATCCCTCAAGACCTGGTTACATGATCAGGCCAGGAGTTCACAGGCAACAGGAGATATGCTCAAACAATTCAATTGCCCAAGATTTATTCTCATCCTCCCTTTGACTAGGGTTACTATATTTGTTTTGATAATGTTTATTTTCATCAGGATTTTATGTTTTTATATTGATTATTCAATTCTTATAACATCACCCAGAGTCACATTTTTGTGAGATGGGCAGTTATATAAATAAATAAAATTCCAATTCGTAAGACCAACATGGCCTGAGTAATAGCAATTCACTTTGTTTATGTTCCTAAAGTTATCTATCTTAGTTGATTAATATAGATGATTATTTTTTCAAAAACAGTATTTAGAAATTATAGCTATGATACATCTATTTATCTATGTACGACAGGTTGACTCAGCCTGGGTAAAATGAGGACTCAAATTGTTGGGAGCAATATGTTGACTCTGTAAACCACTTAGAGGGGGCTGTAAAGCACTGTCAAACAGCATGTAAGTCAAAGTGTTATTGCTATAGATGTATTATCCATTATATACGATACATAATGCATAAGTAGATACTGTACATAGATAGTTAGATCAGATCTATTATCTGTTTATCTTCTACCAACTATCTCCATAATTAATTTATTTTTTAAATCACCATGCTACCTATATTTTAACTTTCTACTCATTTGAAATGGTTTATCTGAAAAGAAAGAGTATATACAATAATCTGCTTACGGGTTCACCTCTTTCTCCCTGATCACCCTTTTCACCTTTCGGCCCTTGTTCTCCCTTGAGTTAAAAGAAAAGAAAAGAAAAGAATTGTATATTGGTTTAGATAAAGAGTATAAAACAGGTAAACACGACAATCTTCATGACAGCAGAATGATACGCCTCCTAACTGTGGAGAGATAAACATTCATTAGCAAGTCCATTCCAGCCGCTGAATTGATTCCTCTGTTCGGAAGGTGACACTCATATTAATTAAATGGCCACAGGCAACTTTGCAGGGATATGGTCTGATTCCATATTTTGAGAGAGTGGTTAAAAATAAAGCCTCCCTCGAGTCAAGCTTGACTTGGAGCGGCTTCATGGACTTCGATGGAATGTGCAAGTGAAGGAGGAGAAGAGGGGAGGGCATGTCAGCAGTAGGACTGCAATTTCCCATGGTGGAGACAGCGCATTCAGGAGATGTCCAAGACAAGAGACTGCACAGTCCTAAATTGAATAGCGTGGGGTGGAAAAGGTTCAGGATAGTCATGTTAGAAACTTCTAAGATATATTTGTAAACTTAGAAGGTTATAGCTTGAGTCTGGCATTATTCTGTCTATTAGCTGTAAATAAAGAACTGGACTTGAGTAGGTCTTACTGTCAGGGTTACAACGATTGCCTTAATTAAATCATGAGCCTCGAGCCAAGTTTCAAAAAAATTCAAAAGATTTATTAGGAGCAACATGTCCGGCACTAAACCATATAAAGCCAACTCTGAGACACATAATTTACTATCACCTATGACCCTGTTTCCCCCTGTGGAAAGGAAACTTCACGAGGACAGTGGTGTCACCCAAGCAGGAAAAGCCCAAAGGGAACATCAAGCCAGCCATAAAACAAACTTGCATAGGAAAAGAAACCAAATAAAAGGTATTAAAGAAGCCCCTTAGACAAAAGCCCAAATAATTAAGAAAACTAAGGAAACAAGAAAAGAAAACCCTTACAAACACAAGACATGCCAAATCAGCAAAACAAACAGACAAAAGACACAAAATATATTGCAAAGGAGACAGACAGGAGATTGCCACAAAACAAATATAAGAAACCATTAAGCTAAAAAAGATTAGGACGAAACCGATAATCCAATCAAACCACCCCGCAAAGTTTGCCTTCTGCACCCCGCGGAGTTTACCCTCCGGCGGAAACGAAGTCAACCCCTGACAGGATTTAAAACATTAAGAAATACAAACACAAGCACACACACACAAAATGAGAAAAAGGTATATAAACCAGGGGCTTATCATACAAAGCTAGCTAGCCCAGGAACACAGACTTCTTGCTATCTCTCGCCTTCCTGAAAAATAAAAAGATCCAGCTTTCAAGCAGTTGTCTGTATCCTTGCACCGGAGCTCTCCCAGCAGGAAAATCGAATCCTCAGAAGAAAGGCATTTTGACAGCCTTTAACACCCCCAACCTCTTGGGTGTGTCATATATCAGATTCTCCAACGAAGGTTGATGGGCTGGGTGTCATCAATGGCATTTTCCAATGAAAGATTTTCCTGGGCAGAAGATCCAGTAGCCTACGCTACAATCTCCACAAGAAAAGCATGGAATGTGCTTCTGGCCTTCACCTGCCTCACTGCTCCATCAGGCCTTTCCCCCCCCCCCCCCCTCCTACTTCCACCCCGGAAACAGGCCTAAGAATGATTTACGAGTTGACACTTACTGTATCATCTCTGGGACGTGGTCCTAACATGGACAACTTCCTGCAGTTATCTTAGCAACACTGTAAAAGTGGCTTAAAACTGTCATTTTTCAGGGTACAGTTGACAAAGTCCTATTTGTCCACAAATTAAGCATCATTAAGTTCTGGACGACTTTCATCTCTAACTCTCTAATCTCCCAAAAGTCCACGAATATTGTGCAATTTTTTTTGTGTGTGGAAAAATACTACAAAACACTGTGCAGAGTTTTGGCAGCATTAATTCAGAGCCAGAAAAATAAACACAGAGGGCTGATGCTTCATTTAACATCTTTATAAACATAATAAGTAAAATTTACAAAACCAGTTGTACATATCTCCAACATAGAGCAAACTCAGACAGAAATAAACATGTTGCAAGTTCAGAGCAGAGCTCCAGTCTTCAGCAAGCAAGCAAGTTAGTTTCTCTTTTACTTTAGTTCAGCGGGCAAGCAAGAGGAGAGAAGCAGTGTCATTTCAACAGACAGACTCAGAACTCAACACGGCTGCAGAGTTGCAGAGCTTAATATAGAGCCATGCCTAGGCTAACTTCTAGTTTCAGTTTCCAGGCTAGGCTACTTCTAGTTTCAGTTTCCAAACAGTCCTCATTGGCTGACTTAGTTGCTATGCCTATTCATTGGCTGACCTTGTTACCATGCTCTATTCCAGTTCATGAATATACTCTGACAAAAACAAATTCTACAGTGGGAAAAAAAATCCTGTGGCAGAAATCTACCCCTCAGATAGAGGGCGAATGAACTTACTCCATTAAAGGGTTTTGCTAAATCTAAATATGTAAGTAAAGTACAAGTGGTCCTCAACTTACAACAGTTCATTTGGTGACCATTCACAGTTATGACACTAAAAAAGTGACTTATGACCTTTTTTCACACTTATGACTGTTGCAGCATCCCCATGGTCACGTGATTTACATTTGGATGCTTGACAACTGACTCACATTTACGACAGTTGCCGTGTCCGGAGGTCACGTGATCCCCTTTTGTGACCTTCTGACAAGCAAAGTCAATGGGGGGGAGCCAGATTCACTTAACAACCGTGCTACTAACTTAACCACTGCAGTGATTCACTTAACAACTGTAGCAAGAAAGATCATAAAATGGGGCAAAGCTCACTTCACAAGTGTCTCACTTAACAACGTAAATTTTGGGCTCAAACATGGTTATAAGTTGAGGACTCTCTGTAACATGACTGCATCCATTCAATTAATTTTCAGTTTATTGAGGTCATAAACCAGTACAGATAATAAGAAATATAAACTTTTAAGACATTTAAATTTTAAATAGACTATTTTTTATGAAAAACATCTGCTGCCCTCTACTGGCCTAGAGAAACATGACAGGGAAATAAATGTGAGCTATGTAAATTAAGGAAAACTATTTGAACTGTTTGAACTATTTGAAGATGGCGCCAGGAAGACAGCCTCCTCGGTGAAATGCTCCCTAATGGTTTCTTATCATTAAGTGTCGTGCCTGATGATTCTTGACTCTTGACAAATGTATCTTTTCTTTTATGTACACTGAGAGTATTTGCACCAAGACAAATTCCTTGTGTGTCCAATCACACTTGGCCAATAAAGAATTCTATCTATCTTCTATCTAAATTACTAACAGTTTTTCTGATTGCTCACTTGGGAAAATACTAGCAACACTTCTGCAAGTTTATAATCCCTTCTTTAACCACAATGTTGCCTAAAGTGCAATATTTTTTAATAATTAGATTTAGGAAAAGGATTGTACTAAATAAGAGGAAACTTTTCTTGTTGTAGAAACAAAGAAAGGAAGTTAACTCTGGGAAGAAACCTGATATTCCCTGCCTTCACTTGTTTTTCTTTGCTTGTTTCAAAATATTTTAAGACAGATTGAAAAGAGGATTGGAAAAAGTGTGGATATTCCACCTGTTAAACTAGAGGGATCCAGAAATAACTGGATTTGCTAACCCAGAATTTTCCTTTTGTATATCGTACAGAATGATGATGATGATATATCAAACAGAATTAATCCCTTTTTTTGTAGGTCAACATGCTTTCAGCAAATGACCTAAAATTACAGATGTCACTCAAGCTCTGGATTTCATTTCAGATCTATTGTGGGCAATGTGAAATCTTGCTGATGGAGCTAAAGTAGAGATGGAACCTGGAGACTTTATTCTGATGTCCAAGTTAGGTGGACATTGATACCATCTCTGGCCATTCCAGAGGCTCATTTTACCCAGTTGAAGGTCTGATGTTGTAAGATCCCAGATTCCTATGAGTTCTTCGCTTCCATGGATATTTTCTGGATCTTCCTTCCCATTTTAAGAAGGAACTGCATGATTCTCACCAGCCTCTGTTCTTTATGTATATCTTTTTGAAAAGTACATGTATACTTTATTTTTTTTATTCATTTTGTTTTATTTTGTCAAGTGATTATAAGATAACAGGTATAAGTATAAACATAGTTATGAATACATGAAATGGATACATATAAGAAAACAAAAACAATAGGACAGGGACGGGAGGCACGTTGGCACGCTTATGCATGCCCCCTACAGACCTCTTAGGAAAGGGGTGAGGTCAATAGTAGACAGTCTAAGGTTAAAGTTTTTGGGGTTTGGGGAAGAAACTACAGAATCAGGTAGAGTATTCCAGACATTGACCGCTCTGTTGCTGAAGTCATATTTCCTGCAATCAAGTTTGGTGCGGTTAACCTTGAGTTTGTATCTATTGTGTGCATTCCATTGTTTAATGTTTAATACAGTTTGCCCATGTAAGCATGTTAAATATAAGCATAACCATAAAACGTCAAATAATTAAAAATTACTTACAGGAATAGTAGGCCTTGGTGTAAATAATGTAGCCTAGAGTGCAAACAATGAAAATAAGAGGCTTCAGTATCAACTTTATAAAGCAATAACAGCAACCACATAATATTGATTGCATTATGGTGATAAATACATGGTAATATTCCTTCTTATTATTACTTCAAAATCATTCAAAAACATAACATATCCCAAAGGCAATGGAAACTCATCAAACAAATGCACTAAGGGTGGATCTCCAAATTTGTTGAATTTCAATGCTCAGCATTACTTACTATTGATGGGTAACAAGAATTGTGGCTCAGCATCTCCATGGAGGGCTACACATTGTGCAATTATGCTTCACAAAAGCTTGCAACACAAGGTCAAAATTTTGTAGGAACATTTTTTTTTTAAACAGGCCTTCAGGCCACACAAAATAAGTAATGCAGTTGGCTGACTGAAGCACATCTTCACTTTAAAAAACAGAAGAAACTCTGATTTTCAGAAACATTGGTTTACTTCTTCCACCTCTGTGCCCTCATTCCATTTATAATCCTTACAGGTTTTTTTTCTTAAGGTAAAGACACTTAAGTTGTACTTGTAGTGATTTCATGGACGGTGGTGGAATGACTTCAAGTCATACTGAACATACAGACGGACATGGTCTATAGTGGTGGAATTACCCCCACCATATTCCGATTGAATCCTGCTTAGCTTATTGAAACCAGCCGAGATTACCTAGCTGTCCTTCTAAATGCTACTTACTTTTCCAGGTTGACCTGGGAGACCAGGAGCACCAATTTCACCCTAGGAAGGAAAAAGGGAGGGAGAAAAATATGGAGTAGGCAGGAAGGAAAGGAGGGAGGGAGAGAGAGAGAAAGAGGGAAAGAGGAAGGAAGGATGGAAGGAAGGAAGGAAGGATTAGAAATGGAGACCCAGTTTCATATCTAAATTTAATAAATGTAAACTGTGGTATACAAATTCATCATCCAATAAGGAGATGATCTGCCATAAATCTAATAAATATTCATCACATATTTATACTGCTACATTCCATAAGTATTCATTTAATTGATGGTATGCAATTAAAATCGACATGATAAAAGAAATAGGGTTTTTTGGCAATTGTACACAATGATTTATCCTTGAATATGAAGTTTCAATTAGACCAGTGCTGGATAAAAAATAAGGTGCCTTTCTTCTAACATCATGACCTTCACCCTAAATCTTATTCCTTTTAACCTCCTCAAAAGTGACATTGATGTAGTTGTATCAGCATTCAAAAGTGTTGGTTTACAGATCAGATGAAAAAGAATGTGTAGCTGAACTTGGGGATTAGGGAAGGAACAAATGATCCACTAAGGGGGAACTTAAAGGAAAGATTACTGATCCCGAGAAAGAGCCAAGCATGATAAAGAAGCCCAAAATAATCCCACTTTAATTCTATGCAGTTTGGACAGAGATAAACCTACTGTAGTTAAGCTTTCATGATTATTTTATTGTACCTTAAAGCATTTCATCCAACTCAGTCCATTTCTTGACCTGAGCCGAGGTTATGACTTCTGTTTAGATGGCTCCAAGACAGCTTTCAAGGTAGTAGTTTTATTGTAAGCTAAAGGTAAAGGTTCCCCTCTCACAAAAGTGCTAGTCATTTCCAGCTCTAGGAAAGCCAAAGAGCTTTCCGAAGCTGTCCAAAGATGTCTCCATGGTCATGTGGCTGGCATGACTAAATGCTGAAGGCGCACGGAATGCTGTTACCTTCCCACCAAAGTGGTCCCTATTTTTCTACTTGCATTTTTACATGCTTTTGAACTGCTAGGTTGACAGAAGCCGGGACAAGTAATGGGAGCTCACTCCATTACACGGCGCTAGGGATTCAAACCGCCGACCTGCCAACCTTTCTGATCGACAAGTTCAGTATCTTAGCCACTGAGCCACCACATTTGATTGTAAGGTTACATTAACAGAATCTTGCAAGTATGAAAGCACATTGGTCCCCCCACTCACCTTTGCTTTCTAGGGATGCTTTCCATGGTCCAATTTCTTTTGCTAGTTGAGAAGTCTCTTATCTCTCTATTGTTCTTCCTCCATCTGTCTCCCATGGACAGACCATAACAATAACTCAAGAATGCCCAGGGAAGCCTCCATGGAGGAGTTCAAGAGGTGGAAGTCACAACTGGAAGTCTTGCTTTTATTTTACATGTATCTACCATCTTAAATTTTGACCCCCTGTCTTGTGGGCACTACTCTTATGTTCAGCTGTTTTTCCAAAATAGTCTCTGGCATGGATCATAAGAAACATTCTCAAGTTCTGAAAGCAGGCAAGCACTGGTTGAAGCCACAACAAGCCTTTCACTATTATTATTATTATTACTGGTAGTAGAAAAAGTGATATGTCACCCTTGTCTATACCACTCAATCTTTCTTCTGTTTCTCCTATGCTCTGATTGTTATTATTATTTCCATTTCAAGGATGTATGATTTCCGGAGAGCAATACACTTGACTCAGCTGGATACTTGATCATTTTGCTTTAGTTGATTGACACCTTCCACTATCTGTTGGATAGACTCCTTTTTTTTCTGATTTTTCCTGCTTCAAAATCAAGATGTAACTGAAATAACCAGGGATCTCTTTTCGGAAGGAAATATGTTTCATTTTATATATACAGAAATGCACACATCTGTACAATACTATATGTGTCTCTGTGTATAGGTATTTCCTTCCTTCCTTCCTTCTTTTTTTCCCTTCCTTCCCTTCCTCCCTCCATCTTTCTCTTCTTTCTTCCTTCCTTCCTTCCTTCCTTTCTTTCTTTCTTTCTTTCTTTCTTTCTTTCTTTCTTTCTTTCTTTTCCAAATTTGTACATTGCACATCTCATTATCCACATGACTGTGTGGTTTGCAAGTAAGAACCCATGAAATCCTTACAAACATCCTTGATTTTTAATCAGATTAATTTCATTAATCTGAAAGTGAAACTGGGAGAAAATACTCTTTCTTATCTTGCTTTGATTGACAGTTCCAATATCCAGTCATTGAATGTTCAACAGCATAAATTTGGGAATGTCTATCTTATCGTCTACCCACTGCATTCAATGCAGATAATAATTGTATAAGCATATGTGGTGTAGGTCATACACAAACAATGATGTCACCCACGAAACAAATGAATTTATCAGTGTGCATATAAATCATGGGATTTAATCAGTTATCTGGTAACTTACTTTTTCTCCTCTATCACCTTTGAAGCCAGCGAGTCCAGTTCTTCCTTTTTCACCCTGTAAACCCAAATAACCCAAGATCTTATAAGATGATCCTTGGTGGCAAAAATAGATCTAAAATATTATTTGCTGCAATTTCTGCTTTCAACAATTATCACAAGTCAATTTGAGGACAAAAAGGGACAAAAATCTGTACTAACTTCTAAAACAGATTCAAAGTTTTGTTAAAAAGCATGAGTTCCTTTTCTTGTTGGAAGGGAACAATAATTTTGCTGGGCTGGAATTTCTGGACTTTAAAATTTCTGGGAAGGAAAACTGATTAATCAGGAGATGATGTACCTTTGCACACTTATATAGATTACACTTTTTATTTTACTTTGGGCAGAAGCTAAAAGCCACTCATGTCAGGTGGTGATGCCTTAGAAGTGATCAGGGTTGGAATTTCTGGACTTGGTTTAAAGTTTGGTTGGGTTAGGAGTTGCCTTGGTGAGCATTAAATTTGAAAAAAAATCTGGGTGACTTGGCTCTTCTGTTGGTTTGCCATTTAAAAGTGGGTATCACAACACAGTCTGCAAGAAGAAGGTTTGAAGGTTGTACAGCGGTCTCCATTTTCCTTTCCTGAGGTAAAAGGTGCTGTGCTTCTCAGACCTTCTCAAGATATTACGATAGACTTTGACAAGGCCATTGAATAATGCCATTGCCCCAATGACAAAAGTTAATTATTCCTAGGAAGTAATGAAAAGCAAAATAACAAACATTTGCCATAATTAATTATTTCCAAATATTTTTTGGCAATTTATATTTATGTTATTTTAGGACAGTGGGGCAAGTAGTGGGAGGGTTAGTGGTGGAAGCCCTCAACAACAGCCCCAGTTTTTCACATGGCCCCTTGAGAAAATTAATCGCCAACCCCTAGTCTAGAAGGTTGACAGATACCAACTGTTCTTCAAATAGAAGTTTCCATTCCTTTATGAATCAAACCAAAACTTGCAGACATCTTGAACTGAATACCTGGTTTCCTTTTTCTCCTCTTGGACCAGGCAAACCAGGTGAGCCTGGGAGACCAGCTTCACCCTAAATGAGAATATAATATACTTAGAATTGTAGAAAATTCAATTGATTTGAAATGTCGGTTTGATCGCCTCCCTGAATATAACCATTCAAGAGTTTTATTACTCTGTGGATTAAATGCAGCAAAACAGCCCCTAAATTGATTCAGCGATTTGACAAAGGTGTGTGTGCGTGTATGTGGTCACACATTCACAAATCATTGTGGTTCTGACATGATTTAACCAGCCTACTAGATAACTTTTGCCAAGGTTTCATTTCATTTTTAGCATCCAATATGGACTACACAAACATTCTTTTGAGGCCCTACACATGTATCCTCTCAATCTTTCCAATTAAGATTTCCACCAACACTGCTGTAAATGCACTGCTGACTGCTGGTTGTTTTGGGAAGGATATTGCCTCAATAAAAGGACAACTTAGAAACATCATCATAAGTGAGGAGGTTACAGTAGGACTAAACAAAAAAAAATCCAGGTTGTCTGCCTTGACACAACAATTTTAAGGAGAACCTTGAGGCACTCACTCACTGTCAGTTCAACTTTTTCCATAGAGTGTTATTGTAATTATATAATAAAGGGAGATTTCCTTGTAAGCTGCCTTGAGCATTCAAAAGCAAAGTCATTATATATCGAACAAATGGCAAATTAACCTTATAGACTTAGACTACTTTGCCATGAACAATACTTACCCTCTCCCCAACTATGCCAGAGGGGCCTGGGGGGCCTGATTCACCCTGAAAAATAGCAAAATATCATGTTTTCCAAGTTTTTTGTTTTATTTTCCAAACTTTTACACATCTATCTCTAAAACTAAAGTATGAACAAGAAAGCAAAAATTCTCTTTAGTTATTTTTTTCCTCTGGTGAAGGAAGAACCTATTGCAGACATTTGAACCTCTTTCAAAAACGAATTTGTGAAGAATGCTATGCATGCACTTATTAAGCACATAGAAGGATGTATTATATTAAACGCATCTCATTAAATGTTATCGGTAGTTATTTAAGTCATTCTTGCCTGCTTGAAAATGTTTATTTTCTGGGTGACTTACAATACAATAAAAACATAAACATAAAACTGTAGAAAGTCAGCACGCACACCCCTCCTAGAAGAATGAAATAATTTGGGAAATATTAAAAAGGCAGAATATTATATTTCCCCAAAGGGAGAAATGGAGAAACATGTTTTTTAAGAGGCAGGAAACAGCTCCAGTCTCCCAGCCCCAAGCAGAAACTGAGGAGCCACCTTTTAGAAATGCAGATTTGGTAACCATTCAAGTCAGGATTATTTTGAGAGTCCCTGCAGCAAAGTCAGAACAAAGGCATAGGATTAGCCCTCACTCAAGATCCAACACAGGACAAAGCCATTAAGCCACAAAAGGGATTGCCCAACACCCTTTCAGAACATAAGCCACTTCATTACACCATCCCCAGAGCAGTCCGAACTTCAACCAAACCTGGGAGCTCAGACAAACACCCAGGATTTGCATTTCCTCTTTTGCCTATAGAGCCAGCTGTGACCCCTGCATAACCCCTACATGACCCCATAGCAATCTGACAACAGCCCATAGAATACATGGTCTTGCACAGGAACAGAAAGCTCAAGAGCAAAGCCCAAAGAAGGTACAAAACCCCCCATTCTCAACTCCATTTTTGTCAGCTTCCCAGAACCACAAACCCAGGTGGTTCTGCTTCATCAATAAACCATCTTTCCAATCAGCCTCCATGTTTCTAGAATTTTTCTCCCAGCTTGGAACTGAACCAGAAATATATTTCTTCCCACAATTTGGCCCCTCAAAGGGAGAAATGGAGACTCCAAGCTAACCTGACCAATGGGCCTGGCCTCGGTAAGCCTCCCTTGCTGGCAACAGACCCACTGACTGATCTTGGCCATTTGGAACAAAGGTAGTAAAGGGAGTGTTGAGTGTTGAGCTCAAAGGCTACTTGGAAAGAAGGTGAGTCCCTCTAAAGTTTAACTTTTAAAGCCCAGAAAAGTGAGGGAAATGTGTGTATGACTATGTGTGAGAGAGGACTCTTCTCCCAATCATAGCTGGATCCTGATCCCTCTGTGCCTTTCCTAGAACAGAAAGATCTGTTCTACCAATAGAGCCAGGAAAGTATAGAGGGTCAGGCCAGAGCACAGGACCTTTTGCTAGGGAAAAGAGAGAGGCTGTGTGAAAATGGAATGGAAAAGTGAATGAGAGAGTTGAACTTGGGCAACCAGCTGGGAAGTCACTGAACAAAACCCTGTGTTAGGAGGTGCACATACTCATCTTGCTTAGGAAAAGCAGCAGGTCCTCCAGGGCCCCTTTTTGGTTTGAAAACTGATCAGTATTCCCTACAAAAGGAGGTGCCTGTACTCTCTAGGGAACCAGAGTTCTCTGGGAGTTTTTTTTTTTTTTTTAATCCAAAAACTGATGGCGGTAGACCCAGCTAAGCCAAAGTGAACCCCACTTCAGAAGGGGAATATGGGAAGCTGTAGCTCAAGGGTTGCAACAGGAACCCCCTTAGGAGATTTGCTCATGGCATAGGATGAGTGGCAGATGCTCATCCTGGCTGGTATGAATAAGAAGATGTGAGCAAGGAAATTGTGCAAAGAGTGGGCTTTGCTCAGGGATGAAATTGTAAAACCAATTTGGCTAAATAAAGGTACTTCAAAAAAGAAAAGGGGAATATATAAATAGGAACGTTGGTTTTGTTTGTTTGTTTGTATGTTTTTTCTCTCTCTCTCTTCCTCTCTGTCTTCCATGCAACCACATGATATGTTTGTTAAGATTTGGGCCTTCCCTAAGTTGAATTAACTGAGATTTATAGTGGGAAGGACCAGGGTGTAACCCTGAGAGTTCTGTTTTCCTCTCCTTTTCTCCTTGGTTTTGTGTGTGTGTGTGTTTGTTTCAAAATCTTTGTGTGCCGTCGAGGTAATTATAACTGTCAAGAGTCTCTGATCCCTAGAGACAAGAATTTTAAATTGTTAGAAAAAAAAAGTTAAAGCAATGAAAAGAAAAAAAAAATACCTTTACCCTGGGTTTGCCTGGCCAGCAGAACAGGGTGAAGAGAACTGTGTTCAATTTTTTTTCCTTCACTCTCTGTACCTTTAAGAACAGCCCAAGGTTATGAGGGAATGTTTTAAGTTCATTTACAGGAGAAAAAAAAAATCATCCTTGCATTTACTGTATGTGTTTAAGTGGTTTTATCTGTCTATTTAACATCTGCAATGTTAACCTTAATGTTTTGTTCCAAACTCTGCCTGCAAGCTATCTATCCACCCCCACTCCACCTCTCCATCTCTTATCCTCCAACAATGCCTTTTCTAGGAGAATCACCCACAAAGGAGGGAGGAGGCCCTGTCCTCATATCTTTCAGCCCTGCACAGACAACTCTGCAATCTTTAGAAGCAGATCACACTGACCCAGATGCTGCCTCCAGAAGAGATCTTCCATCCATTTGAGCCAGGGAGTTGGGTTTGGATCCAGTCATCTACTAAAAAAGTCATCACAGCAAGCAGAATGGAGCAGACTTTCCCAAGTGTGACTGACCAGTCTTACCACCAAGCCAAGCCTAATGCCATCCAGCAGACAGGAAAGAGGACACTGAGATGGACCAGTGAAGACTAAAGAATCTTTCAATCCTCAGAAGACAGCTGGAAAAACTATGGTGGGAGGGCAGAAATTCATTGTAAGGTTTTCTTTCTTGCCTATTTATGTTGTAATCAGTTAAATGGATTCATGGAGGGATGGCATTTGGGAGTGGTTGGCACAGCAAGTTCTCAATGCCTTGGACTTCTATCTGGTGGGAGGGAAATTTGTCCAGGATGTTTGTATTGCCTGTCTTGTAGAAGTAGTTGCATGTGCATGCATACACACACACCACTCAGAATCAGAATGAGGCTATCCCCTTCACCTACCTCCACACACAGCTTCTCCTGGGCTGGTTTTTGCTCTTTGGCACTAAGATCCAAGCAATCATACCTCTCTGCCAATTCCATGGGGGGAGGGGCCATGACCCTCAGGCAATTCCCTCACTGAAGAAGTAGCAGAAAAAAGATCTCCAAACCCAAAAACCTGAGTGTGACTCACAAATGATGCTGCCCAGTTGCCCAGTAAGACAAAATATGTTGCACTGGGGGTCTTATTAGTAGGAGTCATAGGGCTCATTGTGTGCAATTTACATAATATTAATAGCCTGGATTGCACACTGGCTAACCTCAATTTGGCCTCACAAACCCAGGATGCATTAAACTAAGAGCTAAGACAGGTTCAGGAAACAATCCTTGGAAATGGGCAGCCAGTAGTTATTTACTAAAGGTAAACCATGGCTGTGAAAAAGTATGGGGCTTGTGCTTGCTTCAAATCTGACTGGAAGCTAACAGAAAGTGATGTCAAACATATGAAAATAATTGGCAGAAAAATTAGATACTGTAAATTTCTTTTCAGAACTTTTGCCCTGGCTGTTAGATCTTCATGGGTTGAAAGCTCTCCTTTTGGGAACCACTGAAGGGATACTTTTCTGCTCCCTTTATCAATGCTTTCCCCTTTGCATTAAAAATAAATAAAAATAAAAGCACCCATCAAGTCTCCCTGATCAGATCAATTCTTAATCTTGGGGCAGAAAAAGTGTTCCATCCACACTTATGTGGCCCAAAGGGAGGTGGGGGGATTGTAGAAAGTGAATACCGTCACCATCACCAAGAAGAATGAAATGGTTTGGGAAACCTTAAAAAGGCAGAATATTACATTTCCGCAAAAGGGGGAAATGGAAAAACATGTTTTTAAGAGGCAGGAAACAGTCTCCCAGCCCCAAGCAGAAACTGAAGAGCCATATTTTAGAAATGCAGATTTGGTAACCATTCAAGTCAGGATATTTTAAAACTCCCTGCAGCAAAGACTGAACAAAGGCAGAATGATAGGATTAGCCCTCACTCTAGATCCAACACAGGACAAAGCCATTAAGCCACAAAAGGAATTGCCCAACACCCTTTCAGAAGACAAGCCCCTTCATTTACACCATCCCCAGAACAGTCCAAACTTCAACCAAACCTGGGAGCTCAGACAAACACCTAGGATTTTCATTTCTTCTTTTGCCTATAGAACCAGCATAACCCCATAGCAATCTGACAACAGCCCATAGAATACATGTTCTTGCACAGGAACAGGAAGCTCAAAAGCAAAGCCCAAAGAAGGTATAAAAACCCCCACTCTCAACTCCATTGTGTTAGCTGATGAGAACCACAAACCCGTGTGGTTCTGCTTCCTCAATAAACCATCTTTCCAATCAGCCTTTATTTTTCCAGTATTTTTCTCCCAGCTTGAAAACTGAACCGGATGGATATTTCTTCCAACAAAATCATTAAGATCAATCTAGGAATTAGATGTGGGATCTTCTTTCCTACCCTAACAGCTACCCTCCAGTATTTACTTATTTAGAATATTTCTCATATTTTATAAGAAATGAATTTTCTTTTCTTTTTCTACCTTGGAGCCTGCTTTACCAGCTTCTCCCCTTTCCCCTTGTTCTCCCTGTAAAAAAAAAACATAAAAGAAAATTAGTCCAAAAAAGGACAACGTGAAATACAATTGTTGAATAAGGACAGAATTAAATGTTTCAAAGAACGCTTAGGGTTCCCCAAAATAGAGAGCCTATAATGTCCAGAGTTTTACTGAAAATGGCTTTCTCGCAATTTCCATGTATCAGTTCTAGCTCTTCCTTCTAAGTAAATGAAGAAACACAAATTTTGATTTATTAAATTCAAGTACGTAAAAAGAGTGAAAGAATGGTGGCTGACATGTTTTACACATGCAAATATGGAGGCTACCTTATTTGTGCAAGGAAATGGTGCATGCACCAATCTGTGCAAACAATTTATACAAGACCTTTAGATTTGATGTCCTGCATAGTAGCTTCCAGATATTTGAAACACCTATTATGGCTTCTGGTTTTTTTTTTTTTTTCCTTTTCTAATAAACTTACTTTGGAATCAACGAGCCACAACATTTCAGACACCAGCCACTGAATTTAGCCAGAAATTCATGATGAATCTTAGTATTAAGTAAAGAAGCAAGAAACTTAATGACTGTTTGGAATTATCAGACCATGGAATTGTTAATTTAAGCCTTTCCAGCAATGAGATCAGCAAAGATTTCTCACTAAGCTTACTTACTTTTGACCCTGGAAGACCAGGTAAACCATCTTGACCAGATTTTCCAGGTAAACCCTAAAGGAAAAGGAAAAAGGAAAACAAGCCATGCATATTAATTTCTGGGTTCAGATATGCCTGGTTTTACTTCATCAAGGGGGGCATAATTTTCTGCATCATAAAAAGAAATAAGGAGAAATTTCCTGACCATTGGAACAGCTTGCCTCCAGAAATTTTGGGTGCCTATCACTGGAGGTTTATAAGAAGATATTGGATAGTCATTTGTCCACATGGTATAAAATCTCTTGCTTGAGCAGGGGGTTAGACTAGAACACCTCCAAGGTCCCTTCCAATTCTGTTATTCTTCAGTTCAGATACAGGATATGGTTTAAAATCAGATTAGGTGAGTTAGGATTTCACTCTTTTTATGACTCAATAAAAACTTTTTTTTTTAAAAAAAAAAACAAGTTTTATTAAAAATTTCAACAACAAACAAATCATTACATATTTAAATCTTTTCCTGTCTTTCTACAAAAATTTCCCCAATATTCTCATAAAACACAAACAAACACAAACAAACATAAAAAAATCTTTTAGTAAAGTACCTTGGCCCCAGTTACCTCTCTTTGCATGGGCAGCGCATATCACTCTTCACAATTCTATCTTATTTAATCCATCTTTGTCGGATTCGCGAGCGGTAGGGATTCGCGAAGCTGCGCGATCCCTGCCGCGCTAGCCGTTTTGGGGCTCCGACCCGGACGGGTGCGGAGCAAGGCTGCCCTGCAGGGGTAGCTGAAGGTAAGGGGGATCCGGAGGAAGGGTCTGGGGGTGTTGCAGACCCCCTCCCTGGCCGGCAGAACCCCCTTTTACCAGGACAGTGCAGCGGCGGTCCGTAATGGCTGCCACAAAGAAGTCGGCAGCCGGGCAAGTATGCGCAGGAGGAAGAAGAGAAAGTTATTGAAAGTGAAAGTTCTTCTTGGTCGACCCAGGGCTTTGAGATTTATCTAATTTAATTCCTGGAAAAGATGGTTTTTTGATGATTTTTTCCACAAGAGAAAAAAAGCGGCTATTTTGAGGTGCTGAAAGGAAAGTTTACTCTCCCTCCCGACGGAATTAAGCCGGAAGGGAGAGGATAAAGAAAATATATAAATTTGGATCTTGTTGGAGGAGATGCCTTGAAGATTTGAGGACAGAAATATAATTTTAATAAGGCTTTAAAATATAGATTTGGACTCTTTTTTTTTTATTTGTTTGATACCACCCCTGGAAGAGGAAGGGGGAATTTTGGCTTGCTTGGATTTATTGAGGATTGTGGATTTTGGGATTGTTTTACCTTTCTCTCGGAATATTTGGTTGGTGTAAGAAGAAAGAGGAATAAAGAAAAGAAAAGATTTATTTATAATGGCTTTCCCTTTTGAAGACCTGAGGGATGAATATGAGCAAACAAAAGCAGCCTGCAAAGATGGTATGGAAAAAGCTTTTCTATTTCTAGAAATGGCGCTGGTCAATTACCAACAGACAATGGAACAGATGGAAATAGAAGTTGTTCCAGAAGAACAACAACAAGGAAAAGACGAAGACGCCATCTTTATTGAATCCCAAAACTTATCTAAGGAAGAAGGAAGGAAGAGAGCAAGGAAAATGAAGGACTTAAGATCTAAAAAAACATTTGAGAAAGAGAAAAATATGATGCAAAGTAAATATAATGATAGCAAACAAGAGAAAAAGGGAACACAACAGAGAAGGGATCCCAGCAAGGCAGAGGTTAGAAGAAGAAGGGGGGATAGGAAGATTTGGTGGGGGAAGAAAGAAAGGGGAAAGGCGGAGAAAAGCCTCAAAGTTTTAAAATTGGATGGGAGAAGAGGAATTTTTTTTAGGGACAAAGGATGAAATATAAATTTCTGTAAGAAAGATTCTGCTAGGTACAGAAGATGGTATTGTAACATTTATATTTGAAATAGTAAATTAGAATGGTTTAAGATTTAATAAGAAATTAAAATGTTGAAGTTTTTAATAATGATTGATTTTTAAAATGTAATAAAATATTGAAGGAAAGGAGGATACAATGTATTTAAACATTTTTGGTGGATAGAATGTACCAAGCAGAACCGAATTGGGTATTTGTTATGTTGAATGTTAATTTTACTAACTTAGGGGGAGGATAGAAAGGCATCATACTCTGATTAGTGATTTCAGGAGAAATTCTTTTTATTATAAGAAGAGATAGAGGGATAATGAATGGGCAAAAGATATAAATTTAATGACTCAATAAAAACTTTTGTACCTAGCTGACAATTTAATCAGTCTGGTATAATTTATTAATATCTACTAAAGCATCACCTCACAGATTTCAACTGACGTGGCAAATGATTATTAAGCCTTCCATCATTCCACAAAATTGACTGAAAAACAAGTTGAGAAGCACACAGCTCATTTGAAGGATGACAATCTACGCACAAGGCCAAGGTTGGGAAAGCTGAGATTCTGTCTCAGAGATTTCCCAATGCAGTGCTAGAAATTTACCCCATGTTTGGAGAAAAGGAACCAAAACTAAAATATATATTTGAGGGGGAAAACATCAAGGAGCTCAGCAGGTTTGCTGTTTATGGTCATGAACACCTTTTAAAACAATTCAAGAGATGGCCACAAGATGTCAGCAATGGCAAAGGAAAGATCTCAACAGCTCTGAAACTTGGAAATAGTTAAAAATAGTTACTGAAGTTCAGCAAAAGCTATAGAAAACTATGGTCAAGTTAATATATAAGTTGCTACAGCTTGATTTATTAAATTAGCCACAAAAGACTCCATTTTTATTTTACTAAGCCAGTCATTCCCAATCTTATCATCTTTAAGATTAAGGGCCAGTACACTTCAACATAGTCATAAATGATCTAAATGAGGGGAGAAGAGAACTCATCAAATTTGCAAATAACACCAAGCTGTGGGGAATTGCTAATACTTTGGAAGATAAGACTCAAGATTCAGAAAGATCTTGACAAACTTGAGCATTGGGCCCTGGCTAACAAGATTCAGTTCAGTGGTAAGAAAAGTAAGATGTTGCATTTAGGTAGGGGAAAAACAGATGCACAGATACAGGTAGGCAGTACCTGGCTGAACAGTGAGTAACTGTGAGAGGGAGCGAAGTGTCCTAGTGGACAGCCACTTAAGTAGGAGCCTGTAGTGTGTTCCAGCTGCCACAAAGGCCAATGCAATCCTAGGCAGCATCAATAGACAGATAGCATCAAGGTCACAAATGACACTATTGCTTTATACTGAACTAGTGAGTCCATATTTGGAATATCGTGTCCAATTCTTGCCACCATGATAAATGCTGGGAAAAGTACAACAAAGATAACAGGTCTGGAGGCTAAATTGTACAATGAACAGTTAAGGGAACTAGGTATGTTTGGCATAACAAAGAGAATAATTAGGGGTGACATGATGATAGCTGTGCTCCAGTACTTGAAGGGCTGTGACACAGAAGAGAGGATTGACTTATTATCCAGAGCATTTGAAGGTAGAACCAGAAGCAATGGCTGGAAAGTTCCTTAAAGAGTGATCCAACCAGAAACTAAGGAGAAATTTCCTGACAGGGAGAACAATTAATCAGTGGAATTAATCAGTCATAAGTAAGGATTGGAAGCACATGGGCTGATGCTAGCAAACAATAATTGGACTAACCCAGAGGTGGTATTCAGCAGGTTCTGACCAGTTCTGGAGAACCAGTAGCCGAAATTCTGAATAGTTTGGAGAACCAGCAAATACTACCTCTGACTGGCCCTGCCCCTATCTATTCTCTGACTCCCAAGTCCCAGCTGATCAGCTGGGTCTTCTTTGGTTGCCTTGCACAGGAGAATGGAGCTGGAAAACAGGTTAGTGGGGTGGGGAGGGAATGGGGATTTTACAGTATCCTTCCCCAGCCACGGCCACCAAGTCACGGCCACCCAGCCATGCCACACTCACCAAGCCACACCCACAAAACCATTAGTTAAAAAAAATGAATCTCACCACTGGACTAACCATTATTTGACTATCTTTGATTGTTACTCTTAAATTATCTTAATACTTTTAAAATATTGTATTAAAGGCAGAATATATCTTGACCTCGGAAGAGACTGTTTGCTTATTTTAGCTGTATATTCACCCAAATGCACACATTGAAGATTCTATGACATGAACTCACCGGTGGCCCACGTTCACCATTTCTGCCAGTTTCTCCTGGTTGACCCTAGAACAAGACAAAACAAACACACAGTTAAAACAGATTATAATATTGAGGTTTCCCTGGTATTATCTGCCACCTATTTCCAGCCAAGTCCAAAAGAGAAGCTACTCTGAGTTCTGTTATACTTGGCTTTGAGGGGGTTGCCTTCAAGTCAACCTCAATTCCTGGTGACTGCCTGGACAAGACCCTGCAGATTTTTGGGCAAGATTTCAGAAGTGGCTTGCCATTGCTTGTTTCTTAGGGCTGAGAGACAGTGAGCTGGCTTTGTGCCTAAGGCAGAACTAAGACTCGTGGTCTTCTAATTTGGGGCCTTACCCATTATACAAAATTGACTATCACTATGGTATAATGCTTATTTTTAGATTATTTACCAGAGTCAGTGCTGAGTTAGGCCTGCATTCTCCTCTCTCCAGCTCTGTCTACCCTGCCCCCATAAATATAGGAAGAATTTTGTTTTCATGCCTTTCTTTATCTAACTTCTCTTTCAGGTCCTGTGTTGACCATTACGGCCAACCAGATTGTACCACAACAGGTACCCTCTGAATCTCAAATAAAGAGTGCTATCCAACATTGCTAACTTTCCTGTTTTTGTAAAAAAAAAAAAATGTTTTTCCTTACTGGAGATCCAGCAAGTCCAGGAGAACCAGAAAGTCCAGGAGACCCTGGGAGACCCTGTAAAGAAATGTAGAAGACAATTACATTAAATTGTAAGCTGCCCAGAGTCACTGATTGACATTGGCAGCTATGAATATTGAATAAATGAATCAATAAATTCCACGTAATCCATCAATATATTTTTTCTCACCAGCATTGTTTCTAACTTTCAGTTTTTGCAGAGATTAATAACTGTTCCCTTACCCACTAGAAGTAGGATGTCTCCTCTCTGTGTCCAAGATAGAGCATTTCAACAAGTACTACTTTTCCTACTGCTATAGTTTTATAATGCAGTTTGCCTAAAAGGCAGTTTGACTGATGGAAGAACGGAAAAGTATAAATGATAAAAAATTAGTTTTCATTGCTTTTTTCAATGTAAGCTTCTTTTTTCCTGCCAGTGAATGGCACTTGAGTGACACCTGTCTTTTCAGAGAAATGACAAGGGATCTAAATAAAGTGAATACTCAGTATTCTTCTTCTGTGAATTGTTGAAGATACAACCCACTCTGTATTTGTTGTATTCACAACAAGGAACTGTTTAGCATATAGAAATATTTCTGATATTCCCCAAATCCATTTGTTCTCTTCTTGTTCTACAAGAAAGTATAGGGTCACCGTCAGACCTGCCTCCACTTGAACCTGGTTGAACACGTGGTTGGACTAGAAGGCCTCTGAGGTCCCTTCCAACTCTGTTAGTCTGTTAAGAAATATCTTTGAACTTCTTCCCTAGTTCCAGTCTCCTTTTTAAAAAATGCTATTTGATGCTTCAAATATAAGAACATTTTTTCCCCGAAAGCCATCACTCTGCTAAACAAATAATTCCCTCAACACTGTTCATCTATTACAAAGTCTGCACTACTATTACTATTAATCTTCTCATCATTCCTTATCACCCATCCCCTCCCACTTGTGACTGTATGATTGTAACTTTGTCACTTGTATCCTTAGGACTTATACTGACTGTTTCCTAGTATGATTTGATTGCTGATTGTACCCTATGACTATCGTTAAGTGTTGTACGTTATGATTCTTGATTCTTAATGAATGTATCTTTTCTTTTATGTATACTGAGAGTATTTACACCAAGACAAATTCCTTGTGTGTCCAATCACACTTGGCCAATAATTACTCCTCTACCCACAAGCAATTCAATTTACCAGAAGTTTTATAATAATTAAAAAAACCTAGCCAGACTAAAAGAGAAACTGACTTAGGAAAAGGTCAGTCTACTCTTAACATGGGAAAGGTAGAGCTTTTATAAAATCTGTTTTATGTTGTTTGGGTTCATGTTGCATTTCAAACTGTAATGAGAAAATGTCAAGGTCAATTTTTTATCAGCTTCTCATTCTTGTTCTTTATTTGGTAATAAAAATCTAATACAAAATAAAAGTCCAAAGATCAAAAATGCACTCTTCTTGCACAGTGCTCTTCTTGTACAGTGATCACAAAAGAAGTCATGATTTTAAAATAATAATAATGTGAATAATTCGTGGGAATAGTTCACACTACATAATTTATTGTAGATTTTGAGCCTTCTCCAAGAAAATTCAGACAGTAAATTCTCAAAGCCTGGAATTTGTGTTTTGATGTTCTTTAAAGCATCACTTACACAAAGGGGCACTCTGCCCTATGTGTGTAGATCATTTGCACTTCAAAGGGCAATTTAAAGTGTGTTAAAATATTTAAATTTAGTAGCTGGATCAGTGGGATCGTTCAGTAAGCCAAAATACACAGTTGTAGTTGATTGATTGGAGAATTCTGGCTCCTCTGTGAGGCAATCTGTGCTGTCATTGGTTACTGTGAGTGTGTGTGGGAGTTTCCCTTTTTCCCCGCCTTTTTCTTTTGTGTCCCATGTGCTCTGTGATTTACCTCATGATGCTCCTGTTTCCCTGACTATCTAGTTTGCTGTATATATTGATGTAAAATAAATGTATTTATTAAACAAAAAAAAAAAAAAACCCTGCATGTCAGCATCTATTATTACTTCATTTGGACACCAGCTGTGCAATTCCCTGACAAAGTACAAATTTAGGGAATTAGAGAAATTAGGGCTTAGGGAATTCCCTAAAATTAGGGAAATTTGCCTGAAGTCAAGAACCAGATGCATTTTGTAAATGTGGTCATGGAAGGTTTTGCAAACCAAGCTCTGTAAAGAAAAAAGCATTCAAGTTTCCACAGGAGAGAACAGCTTCTTGATCTTACACAATACAAACATTATAAGCTTGATTTTTCAGCACCTTGGACAGAGCTCAGACTGGTATCCCATTCAGTCTTACTTACAGGAGGTCCAGATAATCCATCAATTCCAGCAAGACCCATTTCTCCTTTCTTGCCCTAGACGAGAGAACTGAAAGTTACGAACCACGTAATGAAAAGAAACAAGTTGAACTGATCATCCAACCAATTCATTATGAGTTATGCATTAAAACTAGATCGTAAGTAAGATAATTCCTTGGATTGTCAAGATATCTTCTTAATTTTACAGTATCTGTTTTAAACAGAATTATAATCCTTGATTTTGATACGTTAGGATTAGCGTGCTGAAACATAATTCCCTCAACACTGTCCAACTATTTACTAAGTCTGCATTACTATTACAATAATCTTCTCATTGTTCCTATCACCCATCTCCTCCCACTTGTGATTGTACGACTGTAACTTTGTTACTTTTATGATTTATATTGACTGTTTCCTAGTATGATTTGATTGCTTATTTGTACACTATGACTATCATTAAGTGTTGTACCTTATAATTCTTGACAAATGTATATTTTCTTTTTATGTACACCGAGAGCATATGTACCAAGACAAATTCCTTGTGTATCTAATCACACTTGGCCAATAAAGAATTCATTCATTCATTCATTCATTCATTCATTCATTCATTCATTCATTCATTC